GTATGTGGCTTTGGGAATGATACTCATTCATATTGAAATTTTAATTTCATCCGAAGAGTGAAGAGTGAACTTCATGACAAAAACTAATCAAAGGGCTATTGTAAGTATAAAAATAGCTAAGACTTCTAAAATGTCACCATACTACGTACAAAGGGATGATGAATGAAGCTTTAGCTACATAGCCATCCATGTATAGAAATGCAACATATGATACAGATAATAATTCAACCACTAAAGAAAACTTGGTTATTCTATGTTCTTTGGGGACAGTGATGCATTCAATTATTTTTTGAAAACAAATTTTACATCTCTGCCTCACAGCCTCCTCGTAACATGTGGCAGTTCCCTTAGAGAGCCAGCTGGAATTGCAAGACATTTTTATGATCCAGACTCAAAAGACACAAAGCGTCACTTCTGAAATATTCTATTGGTCACAGCAGTAACAAAGTTCCACCCAAGTTTAAGTGGGGAAGTCATACCTCACCCCCTTAAGACAGGATGTCAAGGTCCCATTGTAAGAAGATAATATAAGATGAAAAATACTATTGTGATCATTCTTGGAAAATGCAATGTGCCACGCATACCAGTTTCCAAAATGTGCACTTTGAAATCAACAAAATACAGTACTAATTTTTAGTTCTTAAGCAGGAGGAGCAAAATCTTTTCTCTAAGATAAAACATATGTTTTTATCCAAACAATGTGAGTCATTCATTAACCACGTTAACAAAATCCTTCTTTAGAAAACTACATGTATAAGATGGAGTTGTGCAGACACCCTTTCCCCCCACCCCTCCAGACAGTCTTGCTCTGTAGCCCAGGCTGGAGTGCAGTGGCACGATCTTGGCTCACTGCAACCTCCATCTCCCCGGGTCAAGCAATTCACCTATCTCAGTCTCCCAAGTAGGTGGATTACAAGTGCTAGTTACCACGCCCAGCTATTTTCTTTTCTATTTTTAGTAGAGATGGGGTTTCACCATGTTGGCCAGGTTGGTCTCAAACTCCTGAGCTTGTGATCCACTAGCCTCAGCCTCCCAAAGTGCTGGGATTACAGGCGTGAGCCAATCCACCCAGCCGACAATTTTATAGATAAGAAAAATAGCTACTGACATGAGAGCAGTTTCTTATAAAAGCCTGTGGATTTGACTGTAAAAAAGGCAATCCACTTGGACTCCCCTCTCCGCTACAGAGAGCTTTCCTATTTTGCTTATTAAACTTTTGCTCCAACCTCACCCTCTTGTGTCCACACTCCTTAATTTTCTTGGTCATGAGACCATGCACTTGGATAACACCTTGGATAATGAAATCAGTGACCCTGACCTGTTTTGGTAACACCAGCTCTGAGGCCAAGATACGGGAGACACTCTCAGGCAGAAGACTTAAGTCTATACAAGTGGTATAGATTTATTTGTCTTTCACAGACAAATCTCTAACCAGTCTCTCTCTTGAATTTCTAAAATTTTACATTCATTGTGACGAGAATCAACGTTTGGTCCATTTCAAAGGGTATGCACAAAGTTTGCCAAAGCTAATATGGCTTGGCAGAAAAATCCATGTTGCATATATTATGAAAGCACATAGAGGATCTGTATGAACAGGATGTTCATAATCACAAGAAAAAGGAATTAATCATATGAGTATCTTTATATGAAGGCAAGGAGGAAAACAGGTTAATGGAAGCCTAGGTAAATGTGCTTATGATTTAAAACAAATTTATTTACTCAGGAAAAATATATTTCTCACCTCACCTGTTAAAAGTCTTAGGAAAGTTTAACCTTGATAATCTCCTAATACCAGAACTTATGTTTCTTCTTTGAACCTCATTCCCTCTCATATTGTAGTAATGAAATGAATGAATGAATAGCAAGTGAATAGTGGAGCACAGTAAGCTCGGAGAACTTGCCGCCTTCCGTTGCACGTATTACCTTTATAAGAACATTGGTATGTAACTTGGTCATGTCATCTATAAAATTAAGGTAATAATAATCCTATCTCCCTAATAAAATGACCTGGATGATTAAGTGGAATATAGTAAATGCTCAACAAATGTTTTCTATTATAACCAATTTGGCTAGGATAGGTGGAAAGAATAGAAATACAGTAAATTAATTGTGAAATCATATTGTATATTTATGGAACATCAACATCAAATTAAAAAATATAGAAGACCACCATGATAGTGTAACCAAAGCTTTTAGACAAATCAAAGCAAAGTTGAAGACTCAGAGATATTGTGTTTATTTGCCAATTGCATTATCAGAATGCTTAGTTGGTGCAATGAATACCATAATTCTTCCAATTCACATAAACTGCTAGACCACAGCAACTCGATACAATTCATTCACTCTCAGCAGAAGTTTATCCACTGTGCCAGGATTCATCTTTGCTGGCAAACCATGCATTAGTGTTCCAGACAAATTGGAGTTAGGCAAGGTTGAAGAATATTCCGCTTTCTGTTCCATTCAGAGAGGTTCCGAGTCTTCAGAAAAGAGTGAGGCATGTGAGTGCAAAAGAGCTGAGGCATGAAATTTGGAAGTTTTCACAAGCGCAGAAGGAAAACCAGGGGATTTGAAGCACAAGGGTGAGATAATCTAATTTCTACTTAAATGATCACTCTGACTGTTGTGAGGGAACAGATATGGGATGTGCTGGGAGAAGAATGTCACCAAGAGCAGCTGGAGGCTGTTAAAGTCCTCCAGGAGACAGCATCATGGGCTGAACAATCACGTTCTAGTAAAGACCATAGAAGTGATCATATTTGGGGTGTATTTTGAAAGTAAAGGCAATTATATCTGCTAACGGGTACAGCCTGGAGGGAGTGAGGGTTTTTGAACCACTGCGTAAACACCTGTCAGAGACTGAGAAAATGTTGGGATGTGTTATGAGAGATGAATTCTAAAATTTCACATGTTGAAGACCCACCCTTCAGGACCTCAGAAAATGAACATCCATAGCAGAAGGTAAGCAAAGCGCTAAGGGCTGCCACTCACCTCTAGGTGCCCCAGCCCCCACAAGCAGTCCTGCTTCTCCCTTCCACCCACCCTCACTCACAGACAGTGGACCTTTCAGCTCTTCCATCACCTCTCTATTTGACATATCTGGTAGTGCATAGCCGATATTTACGCATTTCTGATACACTGGCCTCTTTTACTGATTGCTGACCCTGGAAAAGGTAAGAGAAGGGACCTTTTCCAGTGTCAGCAAGTGACCTTTAGGGGCATTACCTGTTCTTTTCCTGACCCTCCTGCCAAGGAGAAACCTTTCTTGCACCAGGCCTGAAGCATGCTCAGTTGCCCACATCATCAGGCAAAATCTGGCTGGCATTCCTCTTTGTTCCTTTTCTCTGACCTTCCTTTGTGTCATGATGGTTGACCTGAAGTCACCTAGGCAGAACGGCTCATCTCCAGATCCCATGGAAAACAATATCTGGTGAAACCAGAGACAATAATCCCAGTAACACAGTGGGACCTGGTGGGCTCAAGAAACTGCTCTGCCTATGATAAAACTCATAAAGCCCAACTAGAACTGATCCACTTCCTACAGTGCCAGAGAAGAGTTACCAATTAAGAATGTAATCACTCTTCAAATATGTCCATATTTATTCCAGGGAAAATACCGATCTGCCTGGCTCCCTTACAAGAACAACACTGTCTGCAGCAAAACCAGTTCTATTAGGAAGCCTTCCTGTATTATTATCTGCAACTCTTCAGAAGGGCCAGACCAGACGCTCCTATGCACAGCAGAGGATCCACTCAGGCACACCTGTCTAGGGGCTTGTCTTTATGACTTCCTGTCAAATGGCCTCCCAGCCATGCCTCCAACTAAGCTATCCTCAACCTAAAAGTAACCATATACAAAAAGCAAAAAATTACCCAGGTCTGAAATGGTTGCTGGCAACTGGTGATACTGACTAGTATATTTTATTGAATTGATGAACAGGGAATTTCTAAGTATTATGGAGCAATCCAAGCTGAGAAGAGAGCTACCAATCCAGGACACTGAAAGCGCTTTTTGGAAACTTAATAGTTTATTGTTCAACTGTACAGACAAAAGTGAAAATAAAGGTAGTGAGGAGTACCATACACCATTATTTAGAAGATTAAAGGACATCTTTCAAAAGTCATGTGGGGGAAAAAACATAACAGATATAGGAAGAAAACTACACGTGGCAAAGTAGTCTCATTAAGTGTCAACAAATAATTGCCAGAAATAAAGTGAGAAAGAATGAGTATTAAAATATTATAGAAAAAATCATCTGTGTGAAATGACGCTCTGATGAAACAGGTGACGTAAATACTGAGTAAAAAACAGAAGCCCAATCACTGCAGTTGAGGCTTGGATAAGCATATCAAATAATCTTAGTTGAATGTGAAATTGTGGTCACTTAATTATCAGTGGTGGGGAACACTATTTCTTGGGGTAAATAAAGCAGAGGATGAATTCTATAGAATATTCTGGAGAAAGTGGAGGTCTTAGCTATATGACATCACGTGGCTAACTGAGGGAACCACATTTCAGTTTGTTCAGGTTTAGAAATTCCTTGGTGGTTTCTGTGTTCAGTTTTGCTTTAATAATCCCTAAAGATATTTATAAAATACAATTATTTAGCTTTCCTGTGTTGTACAGAACCAAGGCTTGCCTGAGTGGATTGGGATCCACAGAAGCTTGGACAATTCCTGTAGCCTGAGCAGGCTGCTGAGCAGTTTTCTGTCTTCTGTGTGTGCCCAGGAGTGTGCTGTGTCCACACATCTCACAGATAAGCAGAGACCATCTCTACTACATGAAAAGTGTAGCTAAATGTGAAAATATCCATACACACACGTTGTGAGAGATGGAATCGGCTATAAAATGAGTCAGAGACATTGACTATCTTCACTGTTAGCTGTAGGATTGCTACCTATCACCCTCGACACACACACACACACACACACACACACACACACACACACACACACAGAGAGAGAGAGAGAGAGAGAGAGAGAGAGAGAGAGAGAGAGAGACGAAAAGCACAGTGGGAAGCAGAATAGCAGTCTACCAAACAGATTGAAACTAAACGATATCTAAAGTTCAATTCTGATACTGTGTTGATTGATTGCTTGGACACAGTTTGGTCAACACCTTTGTCCAAGTTATACTTGTACATTTTAGAAATTTAATTAACACAGCATTCTACCCAACCCTTCCTGCTGGGCTAGAATCCCAAAAGAAGTGAGGGATACACTTGACCTGAAGTAAGCAAAGCAGAACCCAGTCTCGGAGGTGATGAAGCCCACCCTGTAGGGAGCTCAAATGTGCCATTGTTCTGCTTGTCTTTATAAAGGGAGCTGCCATGTTTCTCTCATACAAAGCTGGGAGCAACACCAGAGCCTCCTGCAAGATGCTTGTGATTCTGCTGTCAGTGGCCCTGCTGGCCGTGAGCTCAGCTCAGAGCGTAAATGAAGGTAAGACAAATTGGGGCAAGATCTTGTGACTCTGACTGGGGTTTAGAAGCTCACGCTATAGAGGGGGATAGTGAAGGGAAGAGAGGATGATGAGAAAACAGATGGCACTGCGGAGTTCTCATGCCAAGGATCAGAAGACCTGTTGTGCCCTCATTCCTCAGCAAGACCTCATAATTTATTTATTGCACAGATAGAACCCAATAAATAATTTGTGCCAGGGGAGTGAGAGAGAGATTTGCTTTTATAGAGACATGGAGCTGCTGCGAAGGATGCAGTGGAGAATGCAAGACAGATTCAGGGAAGTCCAGCTATGAAGATCCTGTACTGATCTCATTAGGCAGGGATGATGCTGGCCTTGCTGTACAGTGGATTGGCATTGATGAAGGAGATAAACACACATCAGAGCTACTGCAGAGACAGAGAATTGGGTAAAAGCCTTGTCTCTTTCTACAAAGAGAGAGAGAGAATAATCAGAGTGAAGCTGTCATTTTTCTCTCCCCTACGTGTAGTATTTCAACGTGCTGGGAATGGCATGTGTAGGATTGTATGTATCCAAATGGTTTTTCCTGGTGGCCCTTATTGAGAAAGCTCGCAAACATCAGCAACATGTTTACAGAAGAGGGCAGAAGAATCCCCAAGTATGACATTGACATACTCAGGGCAGTTGAACTAAATAAGCACTAAGGCTTGAGAAATCACAGGGAGACAAAACAGGGGCCCTTGTATGTTGAGTTCCTGGTTGATGCTCAGAATAGTAACAACCCTGCTTCCCCTCACATCTTCCTCCACTTCCAGTAGCATCACAGACAGTGGCTGATGAGTTCACTTAGGGGATGTGCAGGGTGTGATCAGAAGTCCCTTTTCCTCATAGAACACTATGAGCCCTGAAAGATTCATGAAGTAACTTTTCCCATCATCCTGTACTTCTTTTCTAGATGTCAGCCAGGAAGACGTTCCCCCCGTGATATCAGGTAAATCCCAATAAATTCTCAGTAAACTTGTCTCTTTTTTTTTTTCCTGAAAAATTGATCAATAGTTTGGATGAGGACAGTAAGAGAGTGAGATTTGCATTTGTAGAGACATGGGACTGCTGCAAAGGATGCAGTTCTCCAGTGTCTTCTTATCATGATTTTCTTCTCAGGAATTGATTAATGTTAGTGCCCCCAGAGATAGAAGCAGTTTTCTCCCAACCTTGATTCTGGGGACCATGAGCAAAGCCATTTGATTTTTCATCACCCTCATGTGAATTAAGAGGAGTTCTAATGAGGAAGCCCTGGAAAGGCGGGAGGCTGACAGTTGAAGGCAGGTCAGGGAGACACGGGTCGTGTGGTGAACACAGAGAGGTATGAAGACAGGAGGGTCTTCCAGCACTGAGCTCAGCTCTTCTGGTTTCAGCTCAAGCAGATGAAGGGGACTCTAACCAGAGCCCAGATGAGGAGAGTCAGGAACCACCTCTTGGAGGACACCCACCTAGGCCCCCTGCTGGTGATGGAAACCAGGATGAGGGTCCTCAGCAGGGACCACCCCCACAAGGAGGCCACCACCACCACGGTCCACCACCTCCTCCAGGAAAGCCACAAGGACCACACCCACAGGGAGGCCACCACCACCGTGGTCCACCACCTCCTCCAGGACAGCCACAAGGACCACACCCACAGGGAGGCCACCACCACCACGGTCCACCACCTCCTCCAGGACAGCCACAAGGACCACACCCACAGAGAGGCCACCACCACCACCACGGTCCACCACCTCCTCCAGGACAGCCACAAGGACCACCCCCACAACAGGGGCAGCCTCCCCAGTAATCTAGGATTCAATGACAGGTATGATTCCAGTTTAAACTCCATCAAAGGCCCCAACTACTACAGTTCCCCAGCTTCATTGTGTCAATGAATCCACTGAAAGCCTGTTAATATTGCCTTGTCCAGGAACACATTTCTAAAGATTTTTGTTCAGATAGTCTGAGGTAGGGTAGCAAGACCTTGTTTTTAAACAATCGCTTGAAGGCAGTTCTGATTTTGAGAATCACTGTCTTCAAATTACCTCTCCTATGAATGGTTGACAATGAGGACTTAGAACCATGTTCTCCATCTGGCACTCTGTCTTCTTTCCTTAAACTCAAAGACCTCCCATTTATTTAAAGTTCTCACCTGAACACTCCTTGCTCAGTCCTGCCTCACACCAGCCTTTCAAGTCCAGTATTCCTGCTAAATGGTCCTTGGACTTTCAGGTGTTAAATGGTGTATCATTTTTAAAATACTTTCTTTTAAATTAGTACATAATTAAGCTAACAAAAAAAATTTCACTGAATAGAAATGTATAGAGCTAAATAGTAACAGCATAACTCATAATTCCTTCCCTCTCCCCTTTTCCAAAGCCTCACTCTGTACACTTTGGAACTTCTTTTTTGAAATATTTATTGCTAAATAAATATATATAATGCTTGTATTTTCAAAACTGATACCACACCTTATATGCAGATCTGAATGCTACCCATTGAAAAAATGTATTTCTTAGAAACCTTCTACATGAGTTCGAAAAGATATATAGATCTCTTCAGTGATTTTGGTTTGTCTTTACAAGTGTATACTATTCTATTTTTTTAGCTGTGCCGTGATTTCTTTAACCAATACATGTCACTGGACATGGAGGCTGGTTTCACGCTCTCACTATTACAGGATATGTTGCCATGCCCATATCTGTGAAAATAACCCTGAACATGTCCAACAGCAACAAAGCATAAACCACTTAACAAAATCTTTTCAATTATATAAGCAACTCTTTGGAGCATATTATGTGCAATGGCATGAAAAGAGTGAACAAAGATGATATTACAAAAGAGGAGGGAGGTAGAGGGGATAGAGGACAACAGGATGGGCTGGCATCTCCCTCACTGCAGTAACAGCAGTGAGGGATTAGACATTTCCTGCCATGTCAAGTCTTTTCTATAATCTTCCTTGTTTTCTTGTTTCAGGAAATGAGTTAGAAGATAAGTGTTTCAAATGCCATGAAACACAGTATGGTCATCTAACTTCAATATGCCAATAAAATAATCAGCTTGCAATTCTGATTTTGGTATCTCTTCCTGAGTGTTTGTGAGTCTGGAATCTGAGAGCTATGAACATGTTATAAGGACATCATCCAGGACCCCTTCTCCTTGATATTTCCAGCAAGCTTCTCTCCTCCTTGGTTCTAATTAAGCCAGCTGCCTGGGGAAGGAGGTCACTGTTTCTCTCTCTGTCCTCTACAGCTCACATTTAAATTTAAAATTCTTTTTTCAGTTCATTTACTGATATTCTAGTAATCTTAAGAAAATGAGAAAAACATACCAAATGCAAGGAAGTCCCAGAAGCTGAGACAAGGTTTTATCAAGTTCCAATGCAACTGGTTTTGTTTCTAGGGCAATGTATGCTGTTTTATGCCTCTACTCCCCAGAAGCCACTCTACCCATTTTCCCCAGCTATATCTTTGATCAGTTCTGTCCCAGTCTGTGATTGTCACCATTCTTAAAGAAAACCTGAATGGATTTCATCAAGGAGACAGCAGAATTTTAAGGGGCTAAGAATTTGGAATCTCTCAGATTTCAGTTTGGGCCTAACTCTTTTCCTTGCTATTGTTGCTTTGGTCTCATAGAAAGTGACAGAACTTTCAGAACTTCAGTTTCCTCTTCTAAAGGGAGAATAACCAAAATGACTGTCTTAAAGGATGAAGACTAAGGATGTAATATAAATAAAAATTTAAAAGATTGGCATGTCAGCCTCCCAGTAAAAAATTTAGGAAAGAACAGCTGACATTAATTTGTGAGGAATTAAAAACTTCAAACTAAAAAAATCTTAAAATTGCTTTAACAAAGATCGAATTACAGTTGTCTCTGGCATTGTTTTTTTTCCCAGGCTTTCAAACAAAATAAGATAATTTGTTCTATTAATTTTTTTAGCATGTTACTTCTAACTAGCCTATTTATAAAAACTAGTTAGTTTTTTTTTTTTTTAATTAGTACCTGCTTGTATGTCATCCATATTGGTAGATATTAGGTCACGTAGAAATTCAAGTTTCTTTTAGCCCTATAACAGATTAGTAACATATTAGTTAATATATTAAGATATTGCCAGCATAATGTCAATGTTAATTTGCCACCAAAATTAAAGTATCTAGTATGAGAAAACAGGAAAGAACCTAGTTTATAAGAGATGGAAAATCTATTTTTTTAAAAAAAATAAAAGATGCATGCTTCTTGTAATTCCATTTTAAAAAGTATCAGAAAACAATGCTAACTACTGAGTAAGAAGGGAAATTTAATTATTGATGTGTGAATTTTTGAAAGAATAAGATAACATTATGTAAAAGTCCTCTGACGTAAAATTTCAGTGACATTGATATTACTTTATGTAATATGTTATTAGATGTGGCTCAAGAAGTTGAGGAAAGGGTGAATATCAAATAACCTAATATAAATGGAGGAATTAACAGGAAACTCTGTAAGCAGCTCTCACTGTAATCACCAATGTCAGTGAGCACAGAACATTTTCATGTCGAATTTGTAGCTGAGTAACAAAAGGGAATTCTAATTTCATTTTTTTCTAAGTTATAAAGCAGGTTAACATGTTTCCAAATTTATTCTGTGAGGCTGATTAATCAAAATATAGAGATTCCTGCAAAGATATTCCTTTAAAAAAATTCTCGGAAGCGTATAAACAAGTCAATGCTTTGCTGAAAATAATCCACCATGTTTAAAGAGAATGGTAAAAATGGTTCAGTGTTAGAATATTGCACCAGTCTCAGCTGATAGCATATGGGCTTTCACTAAGAAGTTCAAAAACAATCAGAACAGAATAATCTCATTACAACCACCACCAAGTTGACCAATCACATACAAGTTGCCCAGAGAACTGGGCAGCTTGAGCATTTGTTTCTGGAATCTTAACATCTATGCTTTGTGAGTTTATTTCAATCAGCACAAACCTGATGAAACATCTCCCATTTTAACAAAGGTCTTCCTACAGCTGTAAATACTTCTTTACTATCACATTGTTTGTTTGCCATCCTTATTGCAAAAGTTCTTGAAACATCGTATAGCTTCCATTCTTTCACCTCCAATTTGTCCCCCACATTTATTACAGAGGCTTTCATCCTTTGTCCTCCAATTTTGTGACAGTCATCTTTGACCTTCGTTCCAGTCAATCCAGGAGTCCATTTTCAGTGTTGCATCTTATTTGACCTCTGAGTAATGTAACACTATTGAACACATCATTCTTCTTGGAACACTTTATCAGCATCTCTCAGGGTCTCTCACTGTCTCATAGGGCTTCTGCTACCTCTACCGCTTCCCACCTGAGCTTCCCAAAGACAAGCTCATTGTCTTTCAACTCTATTTCTTCTGGGTAAATGGCATTTATGTTAATCTATATGATTAAGCTGACTGTGAGTCATTCTTGACTCTTCCTCATTCATCACATTACATCAGGTCAAACAGACTATGCTATCATTTTAAAGCTCAACCTGCAAAATACATTTCTACTGCAGCCATTTATTCACTACAATCATCGCTGTCATCTAAGCAAGCCTGATTTCTACCTTACCCAAACAGCAAATCTATTGTTACCCAACAATCAATTCCCCACTGTAACTATTCAATAATCATATTACATGTGTATATTTTCCGGTTCATTTTCACTTCTTTTACACCATAAGAACAAAATCCTAATTTTGAATGTGGTCATGTTCCTTTGTATGAAGCCCAGTTTTCTCTGAACTTATTGACTGCTCTATACCTAATTGACTCTTCTATGGCCACAGGATCTTTCTCTTCCTCTTTCTCTCCTTCTCATTCTTCCCATTTTCTTTTATTTTTGGAAAGTATTCTTATATTTGAAATCTATTTATTTTTAGATTTTATATGTATAAATATATGCACCTGCATAGCGAAGGCAATTCCAAGCAAAAAGAACAAAGAGGGAGGGATCACACTACCAGACTTCAAACTATACTACAAGGCTACAGTAATCAAAACAGCATGGTACTGGTACCAAAGCAGAGATATAGACCAATGGAACAGAACAGAGGCCTCGGAGGCAACACAACATGTCTACAACCATCCAGTCTTTGACAAACCTGACAAAAACAAGCAATGGGGAAAGGAGTCCCTGTTTAATAAATGGTGTTGGGAAAACTGGCTAGCCATGTGCAGAAAGCAGAAACTGGATTCCTTCCTGACACCTTACACTAAAATTAACTCCAGATGGATTAAAGACTTAAACATAAGACCTAACACCATCAAAACCATAGAAGAAAAAAAGCAAAACCATTCAGGACATAGGTGTAGGCAAGGACATTATGACCAAAACACCAAAAGCATTGGCAACAAAAGCCAAAATAGACAAATGGGACCTAATCAAACTCCACAGCTTCTGCACAGCAAAGAAACAGTCATTAGATGGAATTGGCAACCAACAGAATGGGAAAAAAATTTTGCAGTCTACCCATCTGACAAAGGGCTGATATCCAGAATTTACAAAGAACTAAAACAGATTTACAAGAAAAAAACAAACAAGCCCATTCAAAAGTGGGCAAAGGATATGAACAGACACTTTACAAAAGAAGACATACATGAGGCCAACAAACATATGAAAAAATGTTCATCATCACTGGTCATCAGAGAAATGCAAATCAAAACTACATTGAAATACCATCTCGTGCCAGTTAGAATGGTGATCATTAAAACATCTAGAGACAACAGATGCTGGAGAGGATGTGGAGAAATAGGAACACTTTTACACTGTTGCTGGGAGTGTAAATTAGTTCAACCATTGTGGAAGATAGTGTGGCGATTCCTTAAGGACCTAGAAATAGAAATTCCATCTGACCCAGCAATCCCATTACTGGGTATATATCCAAAGGATTATAAATCGTTCTACTATAAGGATACATGCACACAAATGTTCATTGCAGCACTGTTTACAATAGCAATGACCTGGAACCAACCCAAATGCCCATCGAAGATAGACTGGACAGGGAAAATGTGGCACATATACACCATGGAATATTATGCAGCCATCAAAAACGATGAGTTTGGGTCCTTTGTAGGGACATGGATGAACCTGGAAACCATCATTCTCAGCAAACTGATACAAGAGCAGAAAATCAAACACTGCATGTTCTCACTCATAGGCGGGTGTTGAACAATGAGAACACATGGACACAGGGAGGGGAGCACTACACACTGGGGTCTGTTTTGGGGAAATAGGGGAGGGACACTAGGGGGTGGGAAGTTGGGGAGAGATAGCATGGGGAGAAATGCCAGATATAGTTGAAGGGGAGGAAGGCAGCAAATCACACTGCCATGTGTGTACTTATGCAACAATCTTGCATGTTTTTCACATGTACCCCAAAACCTAAAATGCAATAAAAATAAATAATAAATAATAAATAATTTTAAGAAATAAAAATAAATATATGCAGTGTAATGGTAATTTTGTTGCATGCGTAGATTGCATACTGAGTAATTCAGGGATTTAGGGTAACCATAAATTAATTAATAGATCTATTAATTAATGTCTCACTCTTTCCCTCTCTCCCTCCCCTTCAGCCTCCCAAGTCTTCATTAACTGTCATTTCACTCTCTACATCTATGTAAATGCATTCTTTTTTGTTAACACCACACTTATGAGTAAGAACACATTATATTTGACTTTCTGTGTCTGACCTGTTTCACTTAACACATCACCTGTCATGCCCAGTTCCATTCATGTTGCTGCAAAATGAATGATTTTATTTTTTTCTTTGGCAGAGTAGTATTGTCTTGTGTGTGTGTGTGTGTGTGTGTGTGCGTGCGTGTGTGTGTATCACAATTTCTTTATCCACAAATCTATTGATGGATACTTAGGTTGAAGTCCTATCTTAACTATTGTGAAAGTTGCTGCCATAAACAGAAGTGCAGATATACTTTTCATATACTGATCTCCTTTCTTTTGGGTGTATATCTAGTCATAAGATTGCTTGATTTAGTGTAGTTCTAGTTTGAGTTCTCTGAGAAATACAGTTTTTCATAGAGACTATAATCATTTACATTTTGTTAAGGGTATTTAATAGTTCTCCTTAGTCCACATCCTCACCCACATCTAATTTTTTTTTTTTGAGACAGAATCTCGCTCTGTCACCAGGTGCCAGGCTGGAGTGCAGTGGCACAATCTTGGCTCACTGCAACCTCCACCTCCTGGGTTCAAGCAATTCTCCTGCCTCAGCCTTCCGAGTAGCTGGGACTGCAGACGCGCGCCACCACGCCCAGCTAATTTTTTTGTATTTTTTTAGTAGATACGGGGTTTCACCATGTTGACAGGATGATCTCGATCTCTTGACTTCATGATCTGCCTGCCTCAGCCTCCCAAAGTGCCGGGATTTCAGGGGTGTGGCCCCCTGTCCGGGGCCTCTTTTTTTTTTTTTTTTAATCACAGCCATTCTGACTGAGTTAAGGTGATATCTCATTTTGGTTTTGATTTTTATTTCTCTGATGATTAGTGATATAGGACATTTTTCACATACTGTTGGTCATTTGTATGTCTTGTTTGAAAAGATGTCCATTTCTGTTCTTTGTCCACTTTATCTTGTTGTTGAGTTGTTTGAGTTTCTTACATATTTGGGATATTATTCCCTGTTGATGCACAGTTTGCAGATATTTTCTCTCATTCTGTAGATGGTCTGTTGACTCTGTTGATTTTTTTTCTGTGCTGAAGCTTTTTAGTTTCAGCTCCATTTATCTATTTTTGGTTTAGCTTTCTGCGCTTTTGAGGTTTGCCAACGGAATTGGACCATATAGGACATCTATGTAGACAGATTTGTCCAAACTGCCCAACTTCACTCCCTACCAGCCCTAAGTTCAATGGAAGTATCACTGGGATATGCTGAGGATTTTTCTGTTAGTCTAAAATCAGAAGTGAGGCAAGGGGGAACACAACTTACCTAGTAGGCTCTGTAGAAGCTTAACCAGATCAGCCCTGGGCCCCAACCCAGGTTCTGGTCTGCTGTCAGCAAATAGCCCTGTGCCTCCCCGTCTTCCCACATGTTTTCCGCATTACAATTGTTGCAGGGAAACACATGCTCCTTTAGTCTCTAGGCCAGGTTATAAGGGCAACCTCCAAGCAACAGTCTGCAGGACTTAGGTGGAAATGTCATCTGAGCCTAGAGACCAGCTTGCTTCATAACTTGTGACTACTCAGAGATAAATTATGACTGGAATGACTCTTGCAATCACATACAGAGTTTCCTGTGTGATAAGAATAAACGGCTTGGTCTAACCAAGCCTATCCTTAGTTTGATCCACTGACTTATTATTTATTATATCAATTTTATTTCTGGGTCACAACTTTCATTGTCTTAATTTTTTAAATAATTTTTTTTGAGACAAGGTCTTGCTCTGTTGCCCAGATGGGAGTGGCACTGTAACCTACACCTCCAGAGCTCAAGAAATCCTCCTGTCTCAGACTCTCATGTAGCTAGGACTAAAGGTGCATGTCACTATTTGTTTGATGTTTTTAAAGACAAGGTGTCACTATGTTGCTCAAGCTTGTCTTGAATGCCTTAACTCAAGTGATCTTCCCATCTCAGGCTCCCAACGTGCTGGGATTACAAGTATGAGCCACTAAATAAATAATTTTAATAAATCTTGCTATCAGCTGAATACCCCTACTTTAATTTTCTTTTTCAATAATTGTCTGATCTTATTTTGAATATTTAATTTTTATTTGTCATTTAGAATTATTTTGTCAACCTTGAAAATAAATTTCTTTAAGATTCTGGTTAGAATTTCATTGAATATGTGAATTAATTTGAACATAATTGAAGGTAGAAAATTAACTTTTACATGTCAAAATAGTTAAATCCTTCAGTAAAGTATTATAGCTATGTAATTTTACAATATATAACATCATAAAACACTTTTGTGAGACTTAGTCATAATCAGTTTATGGTTCTTATTAATAATAAAAAAAGGTTTTTGTTTTTTTTTTTTTAGTAATTATACCTTTTAATGGACTACTGCTGGTGAATAAGGGTAATTTAACTCCAAACAAATTGATATTGTCTCTTGCAAACTTGTCAAATATGTTTTATTTTAAAAGTTTTCCTATTTTTTTTATTATACTTTAAGTTCTGGGACATATAGGCAGAACATGCAGGTTTGTTACATAGGTATACACATGCTATGGTGGTTTGCTGCACCCATCAAACCGTCATCTACGTTAGATATTTCACCTAATGCTATCCCTCCCCCAACCCCTAACCTCCCAACAGCCCTCCATGTGTGATGTTCCCCTCCTCTTCTCATTGTTCAATTCCCACTTATGAGCGAGAACATGCAGTGTTTGGTTTTCTGTTCCTGTGTTAGTTTGCTGAGAATGATGGTTTCCAGTTTCATTCATGTTTCTGCAAAGGACATGAACTCATCCTTTTTATGGTTGCATAGTATTCCATGGTGTATATGTGCCACATTTTCTTTATCCAGTCTATCACTGATGGGCATTTGGGTTGGTTCCAAGTCTTTGCCATTGTGAATAGTGCTGCAATAAACATATGTGTGCATGTGTCTTTATAGTAGAATGATTTATAATCCTTTAGGTATATACCCAGTAATGGGATTTCTAGGTCTACTTGAAAACTAAAAATTTAGTCATTAAAGGCACGTCTCCACAAGCATAGCTGAATCCAACTTTTTAATGATCGCCATTCTAACTGGTGTGGCTTTGATTTGCATTTCTCTGATGACCAGTCATGATGAGCTTTTCTTCGTATGTTTTTTGGCCACATAAATGTCTTCTTTTGAGAAGTGTCTGCTCAATCTTTTGCCCACTTTTTGATGTTTTTTTTCTTATTAA